AGTCAACCCTGAGCCGGTGAGATTTGAACCGCTGAACTGCTGATCTAGCAGTAGCCTGCAGTGCTGCATTTAACCACTGCGCCACCTTGGCTCTTGTAGGAGCCCGTGTTTAAAGATATTTCACATGAATAACTCTCAGAGGAGAGATTTCACATGGAATAAGCCAGTAAGATGATGAGGAGAAGACATCTAGTTCTATTTGAATCTTCTCATCTTTCAATCATTTGGCAGATGTACTGATTCCAATTGAAAGGAAACTTACCAGCCCATGATTCAGTAGGTACATAGACATTGAAAAACATGAGTGGTGCGGTGGCCTAGAGGTGGCGCTCTCGCCTCACAATCAGGAGGCTGTGAGTTCGATTCTAGGTAGAGGCAGATATTTCTCAGGGCACACTGAGAATATATCTGCAGGAAAAAAAAGTCCACATTGGCGACAGGAAAGGCATCCGGCCAGTAAATACTCAGCTCCATTCAGAACCTACAAGGTCCACCTTACAAATGAAAATCTAGGCAGGATTTGAATAGCTTCGCAAAAACTCACTTCTGAGCTGAGTATACAAAGTCCTCGACTTACAACAATTCATTTAGTGACCGTTTAAAGTTACACAGTGGCACTGAAAAATAGTGATGACCGTTTTTTACACTTATAACCATTGCAACATCTCCATGGTCACACCATCAAAATTTGGACACCAGGCACTTGACTCACATCTACGTCACGTTGTAGTATCCTGGGGTCATTAGATGACCTTTTGCGGCCTTATGACAAGTAAAGCAATGGGGAAGCCAGATTCATTAACAACTACGTTACTAACTTAATAACTGAAGTGATTCACTTAACAACTGGAGGAAGAAAGTTTCTATGGAGTGTCTCCATCATCCAGTTCATGGCTGTCCCGAAGACAACTGGACTTCCTTGATTTTTTTCCCCCTTGAAACCATTTCGCTTCTTGTTGAAGAAGCTTCTTCGGTTCTGAAGAATGCCAATTCTTCAGTCAGAAGAGAAGAAGCTTCTTGGATGAGAAGTGAAACATTTCAAAGGGGGAAACAAAAAAACAAGAAAGTCAAGTTGCCTTTTGAAAAGCACCGTTGTGGCAAGAAAAATGGTAAAAGGGACCAAAACTTGCTTAACAACTGTCTTGTTTAGCAAGGAAAATTTTGGGCTCAATTGTGGTCATAAGTTGAGGACTACCTGTAATTTGGAACTATGGACCAAGGTTTGAGCATTGTGTTTTTGTAGTTTTATTCCTTTTATCATCTCTCCTTTGTCCTTTTGAGATTAAGGCTACATACATAACATCTCCATTTAGATCCTAATTAGAAGAGACACATTGAGTCAGAAACTTAAGCAGGATCAGTCCTAACTGGTTGATGGATAGGAAACCTCTAGAAAATCCCAGGAATATATTAAGTGTACAATCTGTAAAATTGGACTGGACTTCTGTCCAGCCTCAGTTCTTCTGCTGTAAAATGAAGTTAATCCCTCATGCATTTTAAGGACGGTGGTTTTAGACTTTCTCATCCTTTCCTTACCGTAACCAGTGTGTTTGCCATGCATTTAACATTCATCTCCTAGTTTAATTAGATCAAAACTATTCTGTTTCCCCCCAAAATAAGACCTCCCCGGATAATAAGCCCAAGTGGGCTTTTAAGCGCATGCGCTAAAATAAGCCCTCCCCGAAAATATTGCAACACAGCAGCAGCCCATGAGGTGACCACGCTCGCCACCTCCTGCACCTCAAAAATAATAAGACCTCCCCAAAAATAAGGCCAAGCGCTTATTTCAGAGGGTCAAAAGAAAATAAGACCCTGTCTTATTTTCGGGGAAACACGGTAATTATAGATTTTTTATAAAAAAAATCCATTCTTACCTTGAAGAAACGTGTGAAATTTGAGTTTGAATAAATCTAGAGCAGACTTACCCAACATTTCAGGTTTGTCAGCCAGGAAAGAGTGGGGGGGGAAGAAGATGGGATGGATTTGTGGGAGGGGCAGGGCTGTGCATGCGGTCACCCATTGTTTGCACAAGTGGGGCCCTGAGCCCCCCCCCAACGTTTGCACAAGTAGGGCTGTGTGCAAATGCATGCATGCACAGCAGCTGGCCACTCACCTGGCCTGGTTGTGAATAGGTTATGTGAATAGGTGGGACATGGTCCACAGGTTGGGGATCCCTGACCTAGAGAAAGCAGTATAGGATGTGCTGCATGATATTTAATTAACCGTAGCTCATTTCTCTGCCAATAAACCAATGTCCTTTCACAGGCACCTGATGAGCGAAACTATCACATTTTCTATCAGCTATGTGCCTCTGCTAGTCTTCCAGAACTGAAGGACCTCTCATTATGTAAGTATGCTATTTTGCACATAGTGTTTAGCCTCCCCAATGAACCTGCAGAATGATTCCTGAAACTCCAGATAATAAATTTGGGGAGCTTGGCATTTCCAAGAAAAAGAACTGTGTCTACAGAAAGAGTGAAGTTGTACAACCGTTGGCAGAATTGGTTTTGGGAAACAAAATAAGCCCCTTGCGGTCTGACGCACCACTTTGAGACCACACCAGGGATGGTGTTGAAGTTCCAAGGCTTTTGGTGACTTCAGTTTGCATGCTCTAAGGGAGATGTCTGGTGAGTTTATGGTCTTTGTGGCATCCATATGTTTTTGGCTTGTAAGGGTGGCCCTAACACAGATAGTTGGGCAAAAATTAGCCCTAGTCTTTATTTCAGAACAAGTGATGAGATCTGAAGATGCAGGATATTAAGATCTGTCATAATCAGAGCACTTCCTTGTGAAATTGCAGATGGATGCCCTAGACCCATGATGGCGAACCTATGGCATGCAGAACCCTCTCTGTGGCCACATGTGCCACTGCCAGCTGCTCTATCAGATATACAAATGCTTTATGAGTTGACAGCTGCCTCAAATGAAGGGCCAGAGGGCCAGAAATGGACCAACTGAGCCCTAGGAGGAGCTGAAATTTGAACTTGTGTAGTGCATCATTTTTCTGGACTTATTGTATGCACAGATGGTTTCCTTGTGGGTTCGGGGTTCAGGCAAGTCCTTTCGGGAAATATGAGCTAAGTGCAAGCATTTCTCCCCCTTAACTTAATTTTGCTGTTGTTTGTATCCTAGTGGATGCCAAAGATTTTTTCTACACATCTTTGGGAGGGGACACCTCCCTTGAAGGAGTCGATGATGCAGAAGATTTTGAGAAAACAAAGCAAGCTTTCACCCTGCTTGGTAAGGATTTCATCCCAAATTGGGCTCCTTCCTAGGAGAACGTATGGCTGATACAGCTATCCTTTGCAAACATTTAGGGCAGTGGTTCCCAAACTTGGCAACTTTAAGACTTGTGGACTTCAACTCCCAGAGTTCTCCAGCCAGAAGAGCTAGCTGGAGAATTCTGGGAGTTGAAGTCCACAAGTCTTAAAGTTGCCAAGTTTGGGAACCACTGATTTAGGGTAACTCTTCAGGAACTTTTCACAATATTG